CTTGCACGCTGTATAAGGAAGTGGACGAACACTTGTATGAAAAAGGAGTTAATTCAGCCAGACCTCCGAGGAAGATCTCCTTCAAAAAGCCTGCTCTATGATGAGTTGGTTTCTCTTCAAGTGGCCTTCTATCTACGCTCTAAAAAATTTAATGTAGACCCTATTATGGTCAAAAATTATTTTGAACAAGAAATCTTCCCCCTGTTGAACATTGAATCTGTGCAAAGTATTTCGATTAGAACAGCACATCAGTGGATGCACAAGCTCAGCTTTCGTTATCAACGATATCAGAAAGGTTTATATGCAGATGGGCATGAGCGCTCTGACGTCGTCAAATACTGCCAAACTTTTCTCCTAGAGGTTGCCCAGCTTGAACAATTTATATCCAAGTGGGTCGATCCAGAATGCAAAATGAGGACCTTTCCCGATCTACATTGTGATGAAAAGGAACATGTATGGGTAACATACGATGAAACTACCTTTTATGTTTATGATGGACTACATTCTGTGTGGGGCCCAGAGGGAGAACAGCTATTGAGAAAAAAAGGGCTGGGTACTGCCGTATACATAAGCAACTTCTTAACAGAAACTATAGGATCGCTTAAAGATGATCAGGAAGAAGCACGTGTAATGATGGTTAGATATTATTTTTAACTTTAGTAATTAATATTTGATGTTTTAAGTAAATTAATTAATATCTAAAAATTCTTTTCTAATTTTTTAGGTTTTGGGTACTAACCGTGATGGTTATTGGGACTCTGAAAAACTCCTTGAGCAAGTAAAATGGGTAGTTAATATTTTTAAGTGAACACATCTGAGATGTGTGGGTGTATTTGCCTTTGACAATACCACATTCCATAAAGCATTTTCTGAGAATGCGCTTGTGGCTTCAAAAATAAATCTTGGTTCAGGTAGTTTGGCTCCAAAAATACGCGAAACTATGTGGAATGGTAGTCGTCAGTCAATGGTCATTGAGAATGATTATTTTATTATGACAAAAAAAAAAAACTTATGTGAATTTGCGTGGGCAGCCTAAAGGAATCCAATAGGTTCTTAATGAAAGAGGATTATAGTGGGATAGTATAGTGCTTGAGTGTATTTCATGTAAAAAAAAAGAGGCAGATCCAAATATTATTGATTGCTGTATGCATCAGTTAATGGCTAACCAGCCTGACTTTCTTGAGCAACGTGGTCAAATTCAGCAAAAAATTGAGTCTCGTAGGCATAAGGTTATATTCTATCCCAAATTTCATCTTGAGCTCAACTATATCGAAATGTATTGAGGAATGGCTAAAAAATATACTCGATCTAATTGTGAATATTCACTTCCAAAAACCAGGGAATCGATCATTCGGGCTTTCGATTCTATTTCCGTAGAGCAAATTTGTTTCTTTGCTAGACTTTTGTATAGGTGGATGGATGCTTACTGACATGGATTGAAAGGAAAAGCAGCTGAATATGCTGTTAGGAAAAGTAAAAAATACCAAACGATTAGTGAAGAAATTTTAAATCGGATCAATAAATTTTTAAATTAAAAAAATTTACTTTTCTGTTTTGTGGGCTTCATAATTTTGAGTTATGTTGATTTTTTTTTTTAATTATTGATATGTATTTGACTTACCCACCCATAAATATATAATTTTTTAAAAATTATTGATTTTTAATAAAGAATCATATTGATTTTTAGTAAAGTATTAGTGCGC